TGCCGCTCAGCTTTGGCGCTTTTCTCTTCCCATCCAGAAAACGGGTCTGCTAGAGGGCTAGCGAGCGAGCAAGCCCTGCCCGCGGTGCTGAGTCTCTCTCATCCCCTGTGCCTCCCTCACTCACCCAGCAGCAGGAGTTTCAGTTCCCCGCGTTCCTGTTTTTTCTGTTCCAACAAAATCTTGTTGATCTCTTGGTCGATTCTGGCAGCTGTCTTCTCCTCGTCAGTCAGACACCAGGGACAGCAGCCCCGGGTCAGGGACCGGGCCATGGCGAGCCACTCACCAGCCACCAGGTGACATTGCCCCTCGGGGCCCACACAGCCGCAGAGGGTGGAGTGGACGTGGGAGTCACTCCAGGGACCCCCGATGTTTTTGCCTAGGGCCCGTAGGAGCCCCAGCAAGGCCTGCGAGAGGCCTGGGTGCAGGGAGCAGGGCGGGGACCTGGGTGCCGGCTCCCGCCCCCTCCAACCTGCCCAGACCTGGCCCTGCCCGCCCGACAGGTCGGTGGCAGAGGCTCTGGCGGATGCAGAGGGAAGGGTGGCCGCCGCCCGCAGAGCCCAGGCCTCCTTCCTCCTTCCCAAGGAGGGTGGCCTCGCCCCCCCTCCGCCCCGGGCCTCTGACGCTGCTGGCCCCAGCCGGCCCCCTCCTCTGGGCCCGAGTAGGAAGCGACCAGAGGGCACAGCTATTGCTCAGGGCTGATTTCGGAACCTGAGGCCGAGGGAAGTTTTGTGTTTCTGTGTCTGCCTGGGCTGCAGCTCACACACACACCATTCTTATAGTTAAAGAAACTGAGGCACCGAGTGAAGGCAAGGCTTGTCCCAGAAGAGAGGGAGAGACAGAATAGTTCATGCCTGGCCCCTTGGGTCCTGGGGAGATGAATGAGTGAGAGGGGGGCTGATGTTCGCATCTATGGAGCACCTACTGTTTACCAGAAAGGCTTTCATTTTGCTCCACATGGCACAAAACAGAACTTTTGTAAACTTGGGGGTGACAGCAAGATGTTTCAGGGGGTGAGGGAGCTTGTACCCCCAGCCTGACCTGAGTCACCCCTGGGGATCAGACCATGGGAGGGGAGAATGGATTCTGCAGGGTGCCCTTTGACCTTCCACCTAAAACCAAACAATATAATAAAACTCTCAGGGTGTCACAGACATGACAAATTCTAGGACAAGAGTGAAGTGGAGAGGTTGAAGGGCTGTTGGGTGGCTTTAAGCAGGGTTTCAGAAGAGGGTCACGGTGAAGGTGGCATTAACGGACAGAGTTGAATCCCTGGACTGGGTCCCTCAGACCCCAGACTCCTGGAACTAAAACTTCTAGACCATTCTGATTCGGACACACACCCAATTAGCAGCCACTATTGAAGCATTGGTGAGGTTCAGAGAGGTGTGTGACACCCCCAGAACACACAGGAACACCCCAGGTCTGCGGCAGGCAGTTGACAGGCCCACGCCTGCCCCACGCCTGCCCCACGCCTGCCCCACGCTGGCTGACTTTCAGTTGACTGTTGAGTCAAACTGTGGCAGATGGGAAGTTTGATAGGGGCTGGGCTGGGTCACTGAGGCCAGTGGGAGCTGTCCTGCCCACTGATGGCTGGGACTTGCTCTGGGGGTGGGGGTGGGGGAACATGAGGGGGGGTGTCGGAAAGAGCCTGGTCTTGCAGAGACTGGAGAGACAGTCCCCTGCCTGGCCCTTTGGGGACTAGACACTGGGTCCTCAGGACACTCCAATACCTTCTGTGGCTCCCACTGTCACCTGCTGTGGAGGTTCCTGCAGGTGGATCCTGCGACTTCCGGGCCAGCCTGTGCTACACAACAAGAGCCTGTCTCAGATTTTTGTGGGATCAGCTGACAAGCTCTAGTCAGTCAGTTCCCTGTACCTCTGTGGAAACACTGTAGATATCAATGGGGGTGTATTCTTTGTTTCTTTCTGAAGTAATAGGCTTTTTTCTTAAATTTTAAAATTACATTTGTTTACTTGCTGTGTGTGATTTTATATGCCAAGACACAGGTGTGGAGGTCCCAGGACAGCTTGTGAGAGCAGCTTCTCTCTTTCCCAGGATCAGACTCAGGCCACAAACTCCTTTACCCTCTGAGCTATCTCGAAGTCTGACATTTTTCCATAAATAAATAAATAAATAAACAAACAAACAAATAAATAAATAAATAGGCGCCGGCGTGTGCGTCGGTAACTTCAGAGATCAGAAGAGGGCGTTGGGTCCCCTGGAATGGGAGTCACAGGTATGGGTGCTGGGATTGGACCCCGGTCCTCTGGAAGAGCAGTCAGCGCTCAGGGCCGCTCCCTCCACCCTCGACCGGCCGCATGACAGGAGCTGAGCAGACGTCCCTCCCTGTGTCCCTGAACCACATCCGGCCGGCCCTGCAGCTGCACTCGAACTCTGGAAAGTCTTCCTTGGCTGCTGCCTGGTTGCGGACGTCGTCTGGCGACATCTGCTGGACGCTTGAGGAATTCCAGGCACCTGTACTGCCGACATGGACAAGCAAGCATGCTTTCTCCGTGGCCACCTCGTCCAATCTCACCTCCATCCGGTCCCCACCTGGTCCTGGCAGCCATGCCCATGGCCCTCCGCAGCAGTCACCCGGAGTCCCACAGGCGGGCAGGCCCGGTGCTCCTCCCTCTGCTCCAGCCACGCAGGCCTTCATGCTCCAGCATGCTAAACTCCACACTGTTCTTGGGCCTTTGCAGGGCCCCCCCCCCCCCCCCCCGCCCTGAGGCCTCTGCACGTGTCCCCGGCCCCGGGGCCTTCGCAAGCTCACATCTCCCACCCCAGGGCCTTTGCATGCTGAGTCCCTGTCCTGGAGCCTTTGCACTGGCCCCATCCTCACTGGGACCATTTTTCTCCCGGGACCTATTCATGTACCACAATGTCCTGACTTCTCTGTGGCTGTGATAAACAGTGTGACCAAAAGCAATTTATGGGTGAAAGTTTATTTCATTTGACTTATGGTTCCAGAGGGTTCGAGTCCATCATGGTGGGGGGGGGGGAACAGCAGGTGGCTAGGGCCAGAAGCTGGCTGGTCACATTCATCACACACTAGGAAAACAGAGCAAGCCCCCCTCACCTCCCAGGCCGTACCTTCTAAAGGCCATCCTCTCTCGGGCTAGCACTGGCCAGGTACCTGAGCTCACAGGGGCATTTCTCAGATTTCTCAGTCAGCCACTACAGCCACCTTCCCAGAAAAATCTTTCCTGGGGCCAGCAAGAGGATTTAGTCCAATAGGGCAGTGGTGGCGCACACCTTTAATCCCAGCACTAGGGAGGCAGAGGCAGGTGGATCTCTGTGAGTTTGAGGCCAGCCTGGTCTACAGAGTGAGTTCCAGGACAGGCTCCAAAGCTAAAGGGAAGCCCTGTTTCAAAAAACAAACAAATAAATGAAAATTTCAGCCAACAAAGGAGATTGCCACTAAACCTGAAGACGTTGGTTCGGTTCCCAGAACCACTTGCACACTGTCCTTTGACCTCCACCAGTGTCCCGTGGCACAGACCTGGGTAGCTTCGCATCAACTTCACACAAGCTGGAGTCATCAGAGGAAAGAACCTCAGTGAAGGAACGGCCTCCGTGAGATCCAGCTGTGGAGAGGGTCCAGCCCACTGTCAGTGTTTCCTTTCACTGGGCTGCGGTCCTGGGTTCTACAGAAAGCATACTGAGGAAGCCGTGGGGAGCAAGCCAGTGAGCAGCACCCTCCACGGCCTCTACATCAGTTCCTGCCCTGCTTGAGTGTCTGTCCTGATTTCCTTTGATGAACAGTGATGTGGAAATTTAAGCCAAATAAACCCTTTCCTCCCCAGCTAGCTTTTTGGTCATGGTGTTTTATTGCAGCAATTGTGACCCTAAGACACTCTATAAGTAAAAAGGAAATTTTTTTTCTGAATGACTGGTGTAACCCTAACCCCTAACCCATCTCACACTCCTCCTGGATCCACCACCACCCCAGTGAAAACTGTGTGTGTCATCGTTGGAATGGCTCTGCGGGGCACACAGGACCCTGAGGTCGCCTGAGTGGGAGAGGAGCCTGGGACCTTCTGGCGCAGTTGGGACTGTGACAGGGCATAGACGCCACAGCGGGAAACAGCCAAAGGTGCCTGTTAGCCGACTCAGAGCGACCAAGAGCCAGAACAGACGGTGAGACACACATGACCCACATGGGGACAGGAGTGGGGAGGGTGGGTGCCAGGGCTTGGATGATGAGGACATAACTTAGTGCAGGGAGACGGGAAGCTGTGGAGGATGCGGGGACAGCTGCACAAGGGTAAGAATGAGCTTCATGCCACTCAGCACTAACTGTGTTCCCACGTGCCTGTAGAGGCCACCACTGTCTTCCTTGATTGCTTCCACCTTGGTTTTTGAGACACTCTAAACCGCAGCTCATGGACTGGCTGTCAGCAAGTTCCCGGGATCTGTCTGCCCCAGACACACCCCACCACGCCCAGCCCAGCATGGCAGGATTGAACTCGGCATTTAAAGTTTGGGTGGCAAGCACCCTACTCACTCAGCCATCTCCCAAAGGCATTTTTTCTTTTTTTTAAGAAATGGTGAGCCGGGTGGTGGTGGCGCTCGCCTTTAATCCCAGCACTCGGGAGGCAGAGGCAGGCGGATCTCTGTGAGTTCAAGGCCAGCCTGGTCTCCAAGAGCTGGTTCCAGGACAGGCTCCAAAGCTACAGAGAAACCCTGTCTTCAATCCCAGCACGTGGGAGGCAAAGGCGTCTCAGTGAGCTCAAGGCCAGCCTGGTCTACCCAGCAAGTTCCAGGACAGCCAGGGCTGTCACACAGGAAACCCTGTCTCAATTACTTGCCCAGCACCCTGCAGCATAGACCTGGTAGACTTTCCTCCCTGGCGAGGTCCTGGCAGTGGCTCATCAGGTCCCTTCTCTGTTCCTGCTCAGTCTCCATGAGACACTGGGTGACACCCATAGGTGCCTTCTGGATGGGCTTGCTCCACCCCCAGCCCCTACCTTTAACAATAACCCCGAAGGAGCCAGAGTTTAGGAACAAAATTTATTCCGCTTTAAAACAGAATCCAAGAGAAAGATATGAAAAGGTGACTTCGCGAGACCTTCTGGGTTGTGGGGTCAAGGCCCCGATCCGCTGCTGGCACCCTGGCATCCAGCCCTGGTGGCCAAGGGCCTGCAGGAGCCTGGTGCCGAGCTGGGTGCCTGAGTCTCCCCTAACTCACGAGGAACATGCTTCGCAAAGGACGAGGGTAAACAGTGTTCTGAGTGCTCTCCTAATCGGGGCTGTGCAGTAATATACAAGGGCGCAGCAGCTACTCCCAGCGCGTCAGGGCAGACACAGAGAAATCAGCATGTCCCCTGCAGTCGGGGTCCCTTGGCGAGGGCCAGGTTGGATGTGGGGAGACTGGGTCCCCATCCTGACCTGTGTAGCACAGCCCCAAGGCCCTGGCATACTTGGCACACTGAGAAGGGCTAACACTTAGCTGCTTGGGGAGGCCCAGCCCTCACACACCTGTACAGTCCCAAGTCCTCTTCCGCTGTGCAGCAGACGCCCTACTCTTTGGGGACCGGGCCCTCCCAAGGGCTGTGTGGCCAGGACGACCCTGCCATCCACACAGTCCTGTGTGGTTGGGATGGCACAAGACTGGACCCTCAGCTGGAGACAGGAGAGGAGCCCAGCATGAGAAGGTAGGGAATCCATGGGCTGGAGGCCAGGAATGTGGGTGCTTGTCACAGCCACCTGTCCATATCCTGGGGCTCTGTCGTGTCCACTGGTCCCTTGTTCCCTTCTGCCTGGAACAGCAATTGTGGACAACTGCCCAGATTGGCGTGTGTCTCGTGGACACTCTGGGGCCTGGAGTCCAGCATGGCAGGCAGGACAAAGGCATGGCCAGATATTCAAGCCCAGAATGCACGTGCAAAAGTGAAGAAATCGGACAGATAGACATTGTAGTGTATATGAGCAACAGGGGGCCGCCTGTGTCCTCTCTGGTCATGGCCACCACCTCCTGGATGCTGGCCCTTGGGCTTGGGAAGCACCGGGCATGGTGCAGTGACTGGGGCCGGGGACCAAGGCGTGGGGCGAGGCCACTGCCCATGTATGGGGACGGACCTGAGAATATTTGGAAGAGGCCCCTGTGCATCCCGCTGTCACGGAGCCACACAGGAGGTGCCTCCAGCTGCCCAGTGCCTCCACTGCCCAGCTACACACAGCCCCTTAGGGTCCCCAGGATCTTTGCTGGCCAGGCCTTTGGGGAGCAGATCTCAGGGACTCAATGTCCCTGAAGGCTCTGCGGCAGGCCTGGCCCTGTCTGAGGCAGGGGGGCACACAGAAGTGACGGCCACTCAGAGCAGGGGACCTGCAGTGTGTCACCTGCCCTGCCAAGACAGAGTGCAGGAGAGTATTTCTCTTTTCTTCAAAAATAAAAACAAAACAAAAAAACGGTTAGGCACTTCCCAGGGTGGGCACGGGGGCCGCCCACCCCCACTTCTTGGAGTCTGGGGAGCAGATGGTGCAGGTTGTGAGTATGCATGGGATATCAATAACTTAGAAAAGGGAGACTCTGTGGTCCCCAAACCTCCAGCCTTCCTGGAGGACTTGAACTCAGGACCATGGGCTTGGGCTGCAGTGTCCCTGACCTTGATCACCTTGTGGCCGTAGGGGACTCTTTGGGAGGGCCCACTACTGCTCATCATGTGTTTCTCTCTCTCTAATCTCTCTCTCTCTTTCCCTAGGAAAAAAAAACTCAAGCCACAAGGAGTCAAGGCCAGAAAGAGGCTACCCCTGCCCTGGAGGATCGGTGACAGGGACAGGAAGTGAAGAGGGAAAAGAGACCCCAGCCCCAGTGCGCCCTGGCCCGTGGTTTGGGTCATGGGATGCGGAGGGAGCTGGCCCTGGTGGTGGCCACACCCTGGTCACACCAGGTTGTACTCCTTCAGGTTCAGCTGCAGGATGGTGTCCTTCACGGCGGCAAACACGAAGCGGATGTTCTCAGTGTCGGTGGCGCAGGTGAAGTGTGAGTAGATGATCTTGTCGCTGTCGGGGTTCAGGTCCACAAACATCTTCAAGATGAACTCACGTGCGGCCTGTGCGTCCCGCTGCGGCCCTGCAGGGAAATGAGCAAGGGCTGAGTCAGTGGCAGCCAGGCCTTGGGGTGACAGTGGGGACATGGGGCAGTGCTCACCGTCGAACTCGGGGAAGTAGTCGACCAGGTGTGAGTGTAGGATCTTGTCTTCTAGAAGGTCCTTCTTGTTGAGGAAGAGGATGACGGACGAGTTCTGGAACCAGGGGTAAGTGATGATGGTACGGAACAGCGCCTTGCTCTCCTCCATGCGGTTCTGTGGGCCGCACACACGGTGAGCAAGCTACCCATGCCTGGCCCCCTCCTGGCCCCCATGAGTGTCCCCAGTGTCACCTCGTTGTCTGACTCCACCAGGACCTGGTCATACTCGCTCAGGGCCACTAAGAACATGATGGACGTCACGTTCTCGAAGCAATGGATCCACTTCCTGCGTTCTGACCTCTGCCCGCCCACGTCCACCATCCTAAAGGGAGACCACATGACACCTCAGCTCCTGGGTGCTGCCTGCAGCCCACGTCCGTTCCTGAAGGACGACCAGGCAGGCGTCCTTGTAGATGTTCAAGTCCCTTACACAGATGGGGCAGTTTTTACCAGAACCTGGGTAACTTTCAGACCAGAATCCCTCTATATGGCTCAGAACCACATAGCCCTGCACAAGCTGGGGCAGACATCCTTTCCCTGCATTTGTGCTCTGGCCTAACTCAAGGAGGGTGACAGCCTCTACCCCATGGACTTTACCTGCTGGTGGTATGGGAAACATAGGGCTGCCCATCTGGCCACACCTGGCCAGGACTCAAGGTTGCTGGCCATGCAGTCCCCATTGGAGTGGCCGTGGCAGTCTAAGATGGACACTTGGCTGCGGGGGCATGTGCCTAGGAGGGGCCGCCACAGGGAAGGAAGGACATGGTACACTCATGCCCTGGGAAGGCCTTACACGGGAGCACATCTCTGCCCTGATGTCATGGCACTGTCAGGGGTTTGTACAAAAAGGCAGGAGAGGCAGAGATGGCACAACATGCCTGCAGGTCAAGGGAAATGACTGGGCCAACTGTCACCTAACCCATCCTGACCTCATCGTGAACGCTGCTGACGGTGGCCCTCCTGAGTCTGTGGGTGCACAGGCTCACTGGGGTCCCAGGGAGGGGTCCTGCCAGGCTCTCCAAGCAGGGGCTGCCTCAGGGCCTTCTCCATATGCCCGCCAGCCCATATGCCTCATGGCACCCTGGCCGTCACCTGAAGATGATGTTCTCCAGGTCGAACGGGTACTCGATGATGCCCGTGGTGGGCACGCGCACCCGTAGCACATCCTGTTGGGTGGGCAAGTAGCCCACGGTGGCGATGCGGTCCACGTCCGTCAAGTAGCTGCAGTGGAGGAGCATGCGCTCAGGAGCTGCTATGTACAGTGGCGCAGATCCCACACCCACAAGAGACAGGGACTTGGTACTGTGTGGCACAAACTGGGGACTGGAGGGGCCAGCGGCCTGGTACACTGCCTCCATGGGCCTAGGGACACAAGTGTCCCAAACAGAAAATGATCCCAGGACAGCTGGAACGGGGCCCACAGCACAGGGGACACCTCATAAAGCTCAACTCAGGGTCAGAGTGGTTGTGGGCTTAGAACAGGCAAGCCAGTCAGGGACAGCCGCTGGTGACACTCACTGCTGACCTGGGAGCCCGTGTGACTCTCCTGAGCTGTGATGGCCCCTAAACATGCTCAGCCAGCCAGGGCCGAGCCTCCTCCCAGTGAAGCTATGGGGAATGGGGAGAGGCTGCAAGGAGGGTGGTCTACTGGACCCGCTGAGAGGCCTGAGCTTGAGGAGAATCAGTAGGGGGTTGGGCCAGCCTTAAACTGTGTGCTCCCACAGATCTGGAGGGCAGTGCAGAGAGCTGGCCAACCTTGTGGGCAATGAGGCTACGGACAGGCCACCCCCATCCTATGGCCCCTGGGGCCTTGGGTTAGCCATGCATGCCAGCCCCACTCACTACTTAGCCGAGTCAGACAGCTGGAACTCCCGCCTGCGATCGTAACACTCCTGGACCCCAGGGTCACTCCACAGCGTCTTGATGGCGTTCACGTACTGGTGCTCGAAGGTGGTAACTTTCTCTACATCCACCTCCCGGATCAGGAGTGCATTGGCCTGACGGAGGGAGGGCAGGCCATGAACTCTGGGGGGCCCTGGCCAAGCAGGGAGCCTGCAGAGTTGGCAGAGCAGTTAGGGGAGCTGCAGCTGGGGTTCACAAGGCTTAGGCCTCCTGGAGGCAACAGACCCAGCAAACCCAGCAGCAACCGGGGCGAGCGCCTCACAACCCGTGTTTCCTGGCCATGCCAACTAAACTGTGATCCACTGTGTGGGTGGAGGCAAGGACTCAGGGAGTAGAGGATGAATCTGCATTTCCCTTTCAGCAGGCCTTAGTTTTCTGAAACAAGGTCACATGATCCAGGCTGACCTTGAACTCATCCTGGCACTCTAGAATGGCAGATGAGTATATCTGAGTTATTGGTGTGTGTGCGCACGTGTATACACATGTAACCCAAGGCTTCATGTCCTCCAGACGAGCCTCTACCCACAAGAATCCCGCCCAAACCCTGCACCTGCTCCTGGGAGGTCCAGAAAGGGGACTTCAGACTGGGGCTGTACCTCCTTTGTGAGCTACTGAGATGTGGCCCCTTCCACAGCCCCAGGCCAGAGGAGCCAGTGATCACACCAGCGCCCAGCGCCCAGGGGCCTGATTGCGGGTGGATCATACTCTTCCCAAGGTGGCTCTACACTGCTCACACAGCACCTACCAGGATGCCTGGGCCTCATTCAATCCTGGGGGGGGGGGAAGCATCTGCCCATTTGCATGTCCTTAAGTGGGAAGAACCCCAAGCATGACAGTGACTGCCCTGACCCTTGTGTAGGGTAGGAAGCTTCCAGAACCTGCCCCCATCGCCCTGTTTGTGGAAAGAGCCAGAAAGGAGAGCTCACCCACAGCACTGGGCTACGGTGCCCTCCCTGCCCTAGATAGCCTGGACAACCATAGTCAAGAGGCTGTAGAGACACTGGCGTTGGGCAGGCTGAGAGCCAAGGTGCCCCCACATATCCAGAGCCACAGGACCCTAACTAGATGCCAGGGGCTCTGCAGGTCCCCATGATCTGACTCGAGGTTCTTCTGACAATACCTGGCCCTTAAGAGACAGAGGCAGAGGGATGGCAGGCTGCAGACCGACTGGACTACTAAGGAAGACCTTGTTTCTAAAGCACCGGGGTTGGGGGCCTGGCTCAGTGTGACTTCAGACCCAACAGGCTCCACCCAATTTCAAGACAAAATAAGCCGGGCGGTGGCTCAGGAGGCAGAGACAGGCGGATCTCTGAGTTTGCGGCCAGTCTGGTCTACAGAGTGAGTTCCAGGACAGCCAGGGCTACAGAGAAACCCTGAATTGGGGGGGGGGGGGTGAAGAAGTCCAGAGGGCATCGGTCTCCAGGTAGTCAGGTAGGTAGGAGGACAGCCTGACCAGCCCCCACCCTCACCTTGTTCTGCTCATACTTGTAGAGGATCTTGAGCGTCTCCATGGCGCGCACCATGGCCTGCATGGCGGTGAAGATGTTCTGGTACACCAGCTTGGTGAAGCCACGCTTGTCCTCCTCCGAGTAGCCGGCGCCGTGGATGATGCGCATCTGCTTGATGAAGGTGCTCTTCCCGCTCTCCCCAGTGCCTGCAGATGGCATTCATTCCTCACCGCATGCTTGCAAGTTCCAACCCCCGCCCACTTGCCCCCCAGATGTTCTCCCAATCCCTAGGGGTCATGCTCCCACCTGAGAGCACCAGGCACTCCCCACTCCCTCAGGAGCACGGGGTGCCTGCTCACCAGCTGCTTGTCCCGGGCCCTTCCATGCCTAAGGCCTAGCAGCCCTGGGGCCTCGCCACCAGCCCCCACCAGCCCCCACCAGCCCCCATGACAGAAGGTCCCCCGAGGTCAGTGTTAATCCCCACTGACCCCCTGCAGCCAACGAGCAAGGCTCACACATGGTCAGCACCAGGGGTGCTCACTTGGTCACCACAACCCTGCTCTCAGCATGGACCCTACCCACACCTCCTACACCTGAAGGTGTGCTGGACGCTTGGCCCCTGCAGGAAACGCCCAGGGCTGGCCCCAGGGAGGCTGCTGGCCTCAGGCAGAAGGCCCTGGGGACAGCTGCTGTGCAGCTGCAGAGTGGGCAGCGGCTCCCTGCCCCGCTGCTCTGAAGCTGTTCTCTCTAGGCCGCATATGCTGGTCCCAAATGTTAGGAACTGTGCTACAGCTGTCCCAGCCCTCTGGTGGGGGTGCCTGCAGCCATGAGCGCTCCTCAGATGCTTCATCTAGAGCTCAACCCCCTCTCCAGGCCAGCCAGGGCCGCACTGTGTGAAGGACAGGATATCATCAACTCTTTGGCATGTGTGGTGTAGTGTATGACACACGCATTAGGTCCTGGATGGGAAGGAAGCAGAGAGCTGTGCCGGTACACTGAAGCTGCGTCAGCACGAGGACCAACACCGGGCGCCCGGAGGTGAGGGTGCTCCATCCACCTACAACCTCAGTGCTCGGAGTGCAGGCGGCCCGGTAAACTAGCCTGGGCTCAAGTGGGGCTGGCTTGGTGAAGTACAGGAGGAATGGAGGAAGACATTGGGCACTACCCTCTGCCTCCACATTCATATGCACACGTGCGCCTGTGAGGACACACATGCAGTGAAGCACACACTCATGCCAATAAAGTAGAGGTGTAAAACAGGCACAGGGCTGTGGCTCACGGACAGAGCTCCCACAGAACCTCCCAGTGAGGGGCTGGTGCTGGAGAGGGCCTGTGTGAGGTCCTGAGCTTCACCCCAACACTGAATACATACAAAAAACTACTGCGAACCCACAGCCCAATGGTTCTCAACCTGTGGGCCATGACCCCTTTAAGGGTCAAACAGCCTTTTTACAGGGGTCACCTAAGACCAACAGAAAACACAGATATTTACATTATGATCAATGACAGTAGCAAAATTACAATTATGAAATGGCAACAAAGTAATCTTATGGTTGGGGTCCTCACAGCATGAGGACCTGTGTTTAAAGGGTCACAGCATCAGGAAGGCTGATACATCAGCAGCTGTGTGAGAGTTCTCACCCAGGCAGGAACAGCGCAGGGCAAATGGCTCAATAGAAAGGCCCTGCCCCGCCCACAGTGAATGATGGACATGACGGGAGAAAGACACTCACATCCAGGGCACAGATGCTATCGAGTACACTGGGTTTAATCAAAGAATTACAAGAGCATATCAGGGACTTGGGAGGTGGTGACGCATACCTTTAAGCCCAGCGGTCAGGAGGCAGAGACAGAAGGTCTCTGAGTTCCAGGCCAGTCTGGACAGCATCATGGCCTCAGCTGGCACCGGTCCAGCAGAGCTCTCCAGGAACACAGTGAACGCCCACTTGTTCATGCATTCCCTGCAGAGACTCCCAGGCTGTCACACGCGCACACACACACATGCACACGCATATGTGAACTCCTGCTTTTGGGCAGGGAAAACTGCAGTGCAGCCCAGGCTGGCTGCATGAAGTCCCTACCATAAACTGAGCCAGTGACAGAGTCTTCAACAGAGGGAAAGCAAGGGGGCAAGCTGCGAGGGACCATGCGGAAGACAGAGTATTCCTACTATCCCCTTAGACTCTGTCCCTTCTGGAGTTGCAGATTCTAAACATTAAGACCCAAGGCTTGGCTGGGTGGTAGTGCACGCCTTTAATCCCAGCACTTGGGAGGCAGAGGTAGGAGGATCTCTGTCAGTTCGAGGCCAGCCTGGTCTACAGTGTGAGTTTCAGGATAGCGAGGGCTACACAGAGAAACCCTGTCTTGAAATCCACCCTCCCCCAAAAAGCAAAAAAAAAAAAAAAAAAAAAAAAAAAAACCCATGACAACTTGCTGTTCTTGTGGAGGACCTGGGTTGGGTTTTCAACACCCACCGCGGTCAGCTCCACCCCCAGCTCTTGGGATCTGTCTCCCTCTTGTGTCCACCACATGTAAAAAAAATTACTACAACTTTTTCTGCTCTTACGACTCAGGCCCACAGAAACACAGGGGTGTCCCATAGCTTTCGTCACTGTGCCCTTGCCAGCAACCAGCAGGTCCCAGTGTCCTGCCCTGGGCCCACTGAGCTTGGCCTAACACATTGCCCAAGGAGGCCACATGCAAGCAGGCAGCTGCCAAAAGATGACAAGCCACCATACTGGGTGGAAAAGGGCCACTGTAATGATGGGCCCAGACAAAAGAGGGCCACCACAAGAACCCAAGTCCAGCAGGAACTCAGGCTTCTGGACAGCAAGCTAGGCCTGGCTGGGTCCAAGCTTCAGCCCACCCTGTGGGCTTGACTACAAAGTAACAGCATGTGCCAGGGTCAAGGGCCCAGCTGGGGCCAGTACCCGGGCAGAGCCACTCCACTGTGTGGCTTCACTAGTGGCAATGTCTCTGGGAGCCAACTTCACCACTGTCATGTCCTGTCACCCCACATCCAAGAGCGGGGTACAGGCTCAGGATCCCCCATGCAGCAGACCCAAGTCATACTTGGGGCTACACACAACAGCCAGTGTCCATGGTCATGAACAGGGGTGGCATTAAGGAGTCCTGGGGGGTGGTACCCCTCCCCTAGCTCAGAGTCAGCTCCCCATGCCTTCCTGCCCAGGGCAGAGTCAGGTGCACCTGTGGACTAGCAGCAGGTGTGAGACCTGGACGAACGGATCACAAAGCAAGGGCAGAGGAATGCCCGGCTGGCGCCTTTCCCTGGGGAAGCTGTATGTGGTGTCAGTGAGGGTTCTGACACTGCTCATCTCTGCTTCCAACCTCTGAGCCCACAGACAACAGCACTTTTTACACACGTCCAGAAAACACCAGGATAAAGCCATTGAATTCATACAGCCTGTGGTCCTCAGCCAGCTCGTGCTGGGGTGGTTTGATACTGGGGGTCCCCAGGCATCCTGCTGCCCCTGCTGACACCAGGTCTGCTGTATCCATCTGAAGACTAAGGTACCCACAGAGCAGGACATGGACTGCAGCTGGCAGACCACACAGCGTGCACCCAGCAGAGCCCAGAAAGGCTGGCCAGAGCCAGACCTGTTCAAACAGGCCACTCAGACCTCCCCAGTGGGAAGAGAGGAGATGGAGGGACTAAGCCTCCACCCTGGGAGAGAGGCAGAAGGGAGAAGATGCTGTAAGGCAGGGACAGACAGACAGATGAAGGATGAAGGGATGGATGGGTGGAAGGGTGGGAGAATGGGGTTGGAGCATGCAGACACTGGCTGTGGTACCCATCCCCTGGCACAGTGTTCACATATGTTCACAGTCTCAGCATCAGAATCACCTCACAGAGGCTGCCAGCTGGGTGTTGGCGCCAAAGACTGAGGTGGGAAGAGGAGGCAGGAATGCCCCTCACATCCTGGCTGACGCTGGAACATGCGGAGCCGCATGTTTGTCATCTCCCCGTGGAGGCCCTCAGTAACCCAGTGAGTCAACCTGGAGTCAGGTGAGGAAGTGCAGCCCCATGCAAGCTACAGCAGCACCCACAGGCTCAGGCCCCGCCCACAGGCTCAGCGGGGGACCTATCATGGAGACCTACTTGAAGGAACTGAGTCACAGAACAGTTAAGTGGCCTGATGTCACAAGGTCACTGCATGACAGGCCCGAACACAGCTGCATGTTGTGGCTTTAAGGCTTGGTTCCCGTCCTGTCTCATGACAGCGCCCTGGGTAGTGAAAATCACAGCTGTAAGGGTGACGCCTGCCTGCCACCAACAGTCGCGGGCCATATGCACCAGTCTCTGAACTCGTTGCTGTGATCTTATCTCTGGGCTGGTGGCAAAGTCTCCCATGGGCCCCAGTGTGTGGGCACCGTTGGCCTCAGAGGGTCATAGGCCACACCAGTGGCCGATAGTGAAGGCTCATGTTCTCTACTGCACAGCAGCCCAGACTGAGCACCCCCACAACCTGCAGGCACTACTCTTGGGCATACCCCCTGCCCTGGGCCTCCACACGTCCCCAGGCAGTAGTACCAGGTCCGGCGACCACAGCGGACACTGGCTGACAGCAGCTGTCTTCACCACACGTTGGAAGGCTTTCCTCACTTGGTTTTCTTTCTTCAGACAGGGTCTCACTATGTAGCCCAGGCTGGCCTAGAACCCACAGATCTGCCGGCCTCTGCCTCTTCAGTGGTGGGATCAAAGGCATGCCTCGCACCCAGGGAGTCTAAAGGTATGGCCTCCCAGCTTTAAGCCTCTGGAGGGAATGCATGGAACAGCAAACCTGCACTGTGCGCTGGGAGCGTGAAACCAGCCTGGGCTACAGAATGGTCAGGGCTGTGGCTACAGCTGAGTGGTGGGCACACGTGAGGCCCCAGGTCCTATCCCCAGCACCCACTAACCAAGCTCACCAGCATTTGCTCCTCCTAGGTGGAAGCGGGAAGAACAGAAGTTCAAGGTCACCACCAGCTAGTAGTGAGTAGTAGAGTGGGCTCTGAGACAGAAAATCAAACCCTATTCATGTGGGCTAGGCACCAAGAATGCACAGGTAGGGCTGGATCCCCAGCCCCTCCAGGGCTTCCCTGCAAATTCCTCATGATGCCCATCAGTCTCCTGTCTCCAAACAGGGCCAAGCCAGTGACCCTGTGCCCACCATATGGCCCTTCAGGACACCCTGTGGGCTCAAACTTCAGTACTCTGGCAAAGGGGCAGAGTTGGACTGCCCAGTTCGCCAGCTGTCACATCCTCATGTGACAACGTTACTTGAGGGGAGGGGACACACCAGGAAGTCCAGACCCTGTCCCTGCCCCTAGCAGCCACAGCAACGCTGGAACGGCCTGTGCTCAGAGCTGTCAACTGTGGACAGGCCCAAGGCAGGGGCCCACCACTGACCGTGTGGAGCCTCTGAGGATGGCCATGATGCAACAGCACGGTGTTCCCCAGAGTGACCACATCCTGTCACACAGCCACCCTCGGACCTTGTGGCGACCCAGAAGCCAGTCCCCTGCAGAGGTGGGTATGGGGCCAGCAGTGCACCAGCCTGGGTATGCAGAATACAGACAAAACCTGCACCTAGCGCTTGGCACTCTGAGCACCGCAGATCCTGGGGACACTGCTGTGGGTGTACCTGGGTCCCCAGGCAGTCGCTAAGGACACACAACTGTTCAGGGGACACTGCAGTAAGTGCCATGCTGCCTCATACTGAATCCCACAGCACTTCCTACCACGCAGGGACAATGCTCCCACTTGATAGATGAGGAAACTGAGGCCAGGATACCCAAAGAAAACTCGTGGTCTTAACCAAGGTACACCCCCACATGGGGCAGCTTGAAGGACCAGAGGGGGGACTGCCCAGGGTGTCCCCTGTGCATCCTGAGTAGCTGGTTCCAATGACCAAGGGGTCCACTCCATAGGAACAGCAAAGCCCACGGGTGTGGGTGTCATGTACGAAGCAGAGGACACGGCATGGAAACAGTGGTAACCTGGACAGCGTGCTGCTCCTGGACCCCATCCCAGAAGCACGTTGAGAACATGCGTGGCCGTTACACTGGGGAGCTACGGGCACAGTGGATGGAAGCAGGAATTGCTATCCAGTGTCCTGCAGGGACTGGGGTGCCTCACAGGGAACAGTCAGGTACAGTGACTCTGCCACCCAAGTTGAGGAGAGTGTCTCCAATAGAGGAACCAAGGAAACAGGGAAAAAAGTCCCAACAATGACAAACAGCTGTGATCAGCAGTGGCTGGATGCAGTGCCCCCCAGCTCCCAACCCGCCTAGCCCCAGGGAAACTGAGGCACAGACCTGCACACACGGCTACACAGTGAACAGTGAAGCCCACCGTGCACACACTAGGCCTTCTCCATGCTAGGCCACTGCCTGGGGTCCAGGGAGATTGCAGTTCAGCTCCTGTAGACACCTCAATTCTGCTCTGAGCCTTAGTGATTGTGGGGGGCAGCTACACCTGAACCCAGAAGTCTCCAGCAGAGCAGCACATACCCCCAGCCTGATGTTGCTACGATGATACCCTGGCTGGCTTCCTCCTGGGGACATAAAGAGTCTCTCAAGACACCAGTCAGTGGGTGACAGAGTGAATAACTGGTCCAAGGGCTGAGCTACCTCGCTCTGCATTCACCATGCTCCCAGGGCCACAGCCTGTCCCCAGCAGGGCCATCAGTGTTGTGGTCCTAGCTGAAGCAGGTGGCCTGAGTAGAGAGGCAAGCTGTGCTTCCCACAGGCAGCAGGCCGCAGCGCAGGCTGCTGCAGACGTCTTAGGGAACTGTTGGCACAGGGCTGAGGGGGCCACCACTGCCCCGGTCACCTCTGACTCAGGATAAGTCTCATCACAAAGTGGGGACACCTTAGAGATACAACCTGTCCCTGCTTCTGGAGACAGGGTCTCATGCAGCTCAGGCTAGTCTCAAACTCCCTATGTAACCTAAGAGGACCTTGAACTCCTGATGTGTCTTCACCTCCCAGGCCTGTGCCCCAACATCTGCTCTGTGTGGTGCAGGGGATGGAGTGTGTCTTGTGCGTCTTGCTGGGAATAAGTTCAAGGACCCCAGGGGGAGGGGCGGCACATCCTGGCCTCCTGAGGAGTGGCCTGAAGCCACCAGGATCTTGGGACAGGAGCAGCAAGTAGGGAGCCAGCTGAGGCCTCCTTCCCAGGGCGGGAGGCCAGCCCAGCCCTTGGGCCACCCCCGCCGGATCCCTGGCCTTTGGCCGCCCAGCCCGCGGCTCAGGACAGGAAGCTGGGAGCCAACCGCCTGCTTTATTTAGAAAGCCGGGCCCAGCCGGGCCCAGCCCTGCCCAGCCTCAGGGACAGGGATTTCCAAGTGAGACCTCTGGGTGGCTGGCTCCCCAGTGGCAGGACTGCTCTGTCCTAGCCTGGAGTCACACAGGGAGGCAGAGGCCCCAAGGCTCAGCAGAGTCTGAGGACCATGGGGACCTCAGAACAGTGGTGACATGAGTGGAAATGGACGCCTTGCTTGCTAGAAGGGCCTCTCCGGTTAGTCCCGTGTGCATCACTGGTCACCACAAGAACCACCTGGAGTGTCACAGGAAAAGCCGGGAGTGTGGCACCCCGCAATGGAAGGTGTGCACAGTCAGCCCTGTGTGGCTTCACTTCTGAGAACTTGCTCTGGTCACCAGTCAGTTTTGCAAGTTGTTATTTTACACCAGACACCACCATGTGTGACTGAGCAGGGGTTCTAAGCCTGGGGACACTGAGTGATGCACAGGGATGCGTCTCACTACCCTGCAGTGCCCAGGACGCCCACTGTAAGAACAAAACGGGACACTGGGCTGAACCTCTCTGCCTGGCTGAACAATCTCCCCAGGCCACATGTGAACCGGCAGGGTGTGACGGGACACACCAGCGAACAAAACCCATCCCCAGACTGTTCCCCACAGGTGCACGGTCAGTGTGAGGGCGGCGGCTTTAAGCCTGGGGGATAAGGCCAGAATCCAGTACAGAGATGGGGATCCTGCCTGCTCTGGAGCCACAGGTCCCCCTGTAGACAGCCGTTGTGGGATGAGGGACAGTGTCATGAGCGCGATGCACGCAGGAGAGTAGAGCAGGTTCCAAGGTAGACCCCTCGCCCCGCTCACAGAAACCCTCCCAATGGCTGGGACCAAAGGCTGTCAGGATAGTCACTTTTCTGAGCTCCCAGAGCCAAGGTCAAGGCCACCTCCTCTGGGAAGCCCTCCCAGCAAGGCACTGAGCACTGCCAAATGCTCAGGCGTGTCCTACTCAAGAACACTGTCCCTCTTCTACTCTCTCTGTGCAGCAGCTCCAGACGCTTCCGTGGAAAGGGTGTGAGGGCACGGGGGCACCAAGAACAAGTTTGTAGGATGGAGGGATTGTACCATGTGCAGGTCAACGCGGAGCCCCTCAGCTGCCGGCCAGTTCAGCCAGGCCAGAGCGCAGGACCAGGGAGCACCCCTGAATCTGAGGGGACTTCAAGGCCAGCGCTGGGGAAGGGACAGAGCTGGGATGACACACCACTGGGCTTGGTCACCTGATGTCATCCTTATGAAGCAGCTTACTGTCCCCAAGAGAAAGTTGACCCTCTGCAGAGGTTAGCTAGAGCCACACTGTAACCCCCAAATGGCTACCATGGGGCCACTGTTGTTCGCCCTGGGCTTGTCTTCTCCTTACCCCTCCCTTCCTGGAAGGCAGCTTTGAGGGAATTCCAACATGCTGGGGGAAGTAACTGAGGCTCCTCTACCCTAGAGCACACAGGCCACAGCAACAGGAGACAGTGCCCCTACCTGTCCTCTCCCATGTAAGAAAGCCAGTCCCACTGCTCCCGTCCTCCTAGTCTAGGGCTCCACAGTCCCTTCCTCAGGTTCTCCAAGGCCACCTCTTGCCCTGAGCCTCAGTTCCTAGACTGAGGCTCGTCTCACCAAGGAGCTGGGAGGGGTGGTGGGGCTCCCCAGTCTGTCTGTTTTGTAAACCTCCGCAGGGCCCAGGCAACCTTGCCCTCATTTGGGGCTCTTAATTGGGGTAACAACAAGGGGACAGCTGGACCTGGGCTCCCTGGCTCCCAGCAACAGGTGGGCCTTGAGGAGTCAGAACCCCAGTGAGCAGGAGACACTCACTGAGCTTCTCTGGGGTGGACGGCATGAGGAGAGGACAAGACGGGACCCTAGAGGGACGGGCAGGAAGGCTGCAAGGCTGACTGTTGGGACAACCCACCAGGTTCGGGTGAACAGAAGCCCAAAGAAGGAGAGCCACCCACTCTCCTGCACCCAGCTCCAATGTGGAGGAATTCAGAGATCTACAGAACAGGGAGGGAGGCAGGGGAGTAGCCATGAAAGGAACCAGCCTAGAGCAAAGCAGGACTTTTGGGGTGTCTAGTCCTTGGAGGCAGAGAAAAGGGTGCAACCAAGTGGGAACTATCCTGGGGAATCTGGAAGCCCAAGGGGTGTCATGAGGGCAGGGCAGCCTACAGCGTTCACCGAGGGGAGAGAGGAGAGCAGACCGGTGCAGCAGGGCCAGAGGCCAGCGCCTTGCAAGAATTCTCAGGAGAGAGAGAAAGCAAGTCCCCAAGTGTGCTGAGGACCGACGTGGCCAGGAGATGCAGAAACCTGCCTCCTCGGATATCAGAGGCAGGAGGCTGACTCCGAAGGAATCTAAAGTCTGAGCAACAGGCAGGCTGGCCACAAAGGGTCGCACAGGCTGAGCCCCGGGGACGGCACGGCGGAGACTGGCCACCGCAGGCCCAGGCCACCTGCACAGCGCAGGGTGCAGCAATCCCGGAAGGGCTGACCGCTGCGGGGCAGCGCTGACCAGTTGCTCCGGGGACACCCGGGGTGGCCCGGCCGGCCTTGGGCAGCGGGCCGGGGTTGGCGGGGGGAGGGGAGGGGAGGGTGGTCGAGTGAGGCTGTCACCTAGCGCTGCTGGCGCTGCAGGGTCGCCCGAGTCTGAGACCCTGGCGGGCGCGGGCGCCCTGCGCGCGCGGGGACCCCCGGCAGGGCCCGGATGCCCCGGTCGCCCACCCGGCCCCCGTGACAGAGGTCCCACGGCACGGGGACGCGGCTCACCGAGCAGCAGCAGCTTGAGCTCGCGCCGGGCATCGCGCTTGTCCCGCCGCAGTTGCTTCTCGATCTCCGCGTTGATGCGCTTCGACTCCTTCACCTCGTCGCTCAGGCAACACGCCATCATGGACTCCAGAGTCATCGTCGTGGTCCCCCGGCCGCCGCCGGCCCGGCCCTGCCTCGTCCCGGTTCCTCAAGGCCCGGCCCGGCCCCAGAGGTGCGTCCGCCGTCCGCGCCGCGCAGCGCAGCCGCCACTGCCGCCACCCGCAGCCGCCGCCACCGAGCGCCGGCGCCCGACGACCTGAAGGGCTGCCACGGGCCCCGCGACGGGCAGGCGGTGCGGCCAATGGGAGGGGCCGCAGGGACGGGGCTGGAGAACCGGCCGGGGGCGGGGCCTCGCCTCTCGGGGGCGGGGTCTGGACGGTGCGGCGCAGGCGCGCGTGCGGTTGCGCCGACGTGGGAAGGAGCGGAGCGCTCGGCCGCTGGGCGCGAGCGCCGAGGATTGTGGGAATCGGGAAGACTGGCCAGCCGGAGCTCGGTTTCTCTCGGGAAGGGGCTTTACGAGGATCCTCTAGAAAGGCCCCGCTCGGCCTCACTCGGCTGCGCTCGGCTCCTCTCGGCTCGGGGAGGTGCGGCTCGGCTGTGCTCGGCTCCTGTCCCGAGCGCGGGGCCGGGAACAGAGATCGAAATTCGAAACCGGCTTGCCATCGCTGCCTGAGGATGTGCGGAAATGCGCCGGCCTGGCTCGCCCGCCTACTCTTTTTTTTTGTTGTTGTTTGTTTTTTTTCGAGACAGGGTTTCTCTGTGGTTTTGGAGCCTGTCCTGGAACTAGCTCTTGTAGAGCAGGCTGGTCTCGAACTCACAGAGATCTGCCTGCCTCTGCCTCCCAAGTGCTGGGATTAAAGGCGTGCGCCACCACCGCCCGGCTCGCCCGCCCACTCTTAAGCAGGCCTACTGTGTGCCGGTCAGAAATGCACGCCCGGCTGGGCGGTGGTGGTGCACAATTTTAATCCCAGCACTCGGGAGGCAGAGGCAGACGGATCTCTGTGAGTTCGAGGCCAGCCTGGTCTAAAATATCTAGTTCCGGAACAGGCCCCAAAGCTACAGAGAAACCCTGCCTCGAAAACAAACAAACACACAAAAAAAGACAGTACATGAGCTGAGTGTTTTTCAATATCCAACGTATGCCAAGCATGGATGCTGTCCCTGCTGTACACCAGACATTGGCACAGCACCTACTTCTACTAGGGACCGATGTAGATGCATTGCCTGTATGTACCAGACATTATAGAGCATTCTGTCAACCTGGCATTAGCATCACCCTGCTAACTGCCAGGTGAGGTATAAGCATTAGGTCTGCCTACTGTATACCAAGCACCAACCTATGCTGCCTGGGGCTGGAGTGGAGCCAGTTCCCTAAGCATGGACGGACTAACTAACTCACAGACCTGGGAAATGTTTTCTCCTTCCAGAGAGATGCGAGTACACAGTCAGGGCTCAATCACTGTGTTTGGCATGTTAGTAAAAGACACCAAGAACTCAAAAGCCAGGTGCTCTCTGGGGTGTGGGGTTGTCCCTGGCCAGGGACACTGATCTCAGCCTTGAGATAAGGGGCTGGAGGGTCAAAGTCCCCATTTACTAGCTGACTGCGGGTGTGGGGAGATCACTCCCCGAAACTCTCTGTCGGGCCCAACCCCACCTCAGGTGTTCACAGTCCAGACAATGGGCTCCTGGTGACCCAGGGAGGTCAAAGTAAGCCTTGCAGTTCACAGGTGCAGAGGCTCAACCTGGGCATCCTGAATGCCCGGTGACAAACATGTGCCATCAGACCCGGTCAACTTTATTTTTTCTTTATGTGCAGTAGTGTGAGGGTGTCAGGGCCCTGGAACTGGAGTGATGGTTGTGAGCTGCCATGTGGGTGCTGGAAAGTGAACCCAGATCCTCTGGAAGAGCAACCAGGGCTCTTAACTGCTTAGCCATCTCTCCAGCCCCTCACTTTTATTGTTGTGTGTATACATGGCTCCCCTTTCTTCCCTTTCCTCCCCCGCTCCCCCACAGGGTTTCTCTGTGTGGCCCTGACTGCCCTGGAACTCACTCTATAGACCAGGATAACCTCAAGTTCAGAGATCCGCCTGCCTCTACCTCTCGAGTGCTGGGATTAAAGGTGTGCACCACCATCACCTGGCACCTTTTCTTAAATGAATTTGCCTTTATTTTATGTACACTGATGTTTTACCTGCATTCATGTCTACGTGAGGGCATCGGGTCCCCAGAACTGGAGTCACAGGTGGTTGTGAGCTCATGTGGGTGCTGGGAACCGAACCGCTGTGCCCCAGTGATATGATCCCTCTCCCACAGGGACATATGTGGTCACCAAACCAGATACGGGCACAGGAGGTCACCCTGGGCAACACGGCAAATTAAGAAGAAGAAGAAGAAAAAAAAAAAACAGAGCCCGGGGCAGGGATGTAGAGGGTAGAGAATGGCTTAGCAGTTAGAGCACCTACTGCTCCTGCAGAGGACCTGGCTTCAGCTCCAGCGCCCACATGGTTGCAACCCTGTCGCTTCAGCTCCTGGACTTCTGAGTTGGATTTCTGGCCCCTTTCTCCCCACCTCTACCCCAACTCTGCTCTGTTTGGGGTTCATGAGTCAGGGATCATCGCTTGGGAAATTGTCTTCAAGAAAGGATCCCAGGGGCTGAGGTGGGGCTCAGCCAGTGAGAGCGCTCACTATGCAAACGTGAGGACCTGAGTTCAAATCCAGCACCCTCAAATGGCACTGAGTGACATCCTAGCAGACACGTGTCACCAAGTGGCCAAGGACACCACGTGGCCTGCACAGCTCCAGTCTCCACGTGGCTGCACTTGGGTGAGCCCATTCGCAACCATGAGAGTGCCTCACTGCAGCAGGGATGGACAGAGGGACAGATGGACTGAGGTTCTGTAACCCAGGCTGACCTGGAACTCACAGCAATCCTCCTGCCGAAGCCTCCAGCAGGCTGGGCTGGTGAATGGCCTTCCATCGCTGTGCTCAGTGCTGTGGGACCTTTTAGGACCGGGAACCAGGCTAACTTCATGGTGGTGACACCCTGAGCCCCTGTGGGTGTGGGTGTGGGCACCCAACACCAGTAAAAATCCAAAAAGTTGGCATAAGAACAGACAGGAGGACCAATGGAACCGAATAGAAGACCCGGATATCAATCCACACATCTTCGAACACCTGAAAAATATAAAGAAGCAAAAAAAAATATATCAAAAGGAAAAAAGAAAGCATATTTAACAAGTGGTGCTGGCATAACTGGATACCAACATGTAGAAGAATGAAAATAGACCCATATCTATCTCCATACACAAAACTCAAGTCCAAATGGATCAAAGACTTCAACATAAAGCCAGCCACACTGAACCTTATAGAAGAGAAAGTGGGAAATACACTTGAACGCATTGGCACAGGGAACCACTTCCTAAATATAACCCCAACAGCACAGACACTGAGAGAAACAATTACTAAATGGGACCTCCTGAAACTGAAAAGCTTCTGTAAAGCAAAGGGCATGGTCAACAAGACGAAACGACAGCCTACAGAATGGGAAAAGATCTTCACTAACCCCACATCAGACAGAGGTCTGATCTCCAAAATATACAAAGAACTCAAGAAATTGGACACCAAAAGATCACATAATCCATTAAAAAAAATGGAGTACAGACCTAAACTGAGAACTCTCAACAGAGGAATCTAAAATGGATGAAAGACACTTAAGGAAATGTTCAACATCCTTAGTCATCAGAGAAATGCAAATCAAAACAACTCTGAGATTCCATCTTACACCTGTAAGAATGGCCAAGATCAAAAACACTAATGACAACTTATGCTGGAGAGGTTGTGGGGAAAAGGGAACACTTCTGCATTGCTGGTGGGAATGCGAGCTGGTACAGCCCCTTTGGATGTCAGTGTGGCGATTTCTCAGAAAATTAGGAAACAACCTTTCTCAAGACCCAGCAATACCACTTTTGGGTATATATCCAAAGGATGCTCAATCGTGCCACAAGGATATATGCTCAACTATGTTCATAGCAGCTTTGTTTGTCATAGCCAGAACCTGGAAACAACCTAAATGCTCCTCGACCGAAGAATGGATAAGGAAAATGTGGTACATTTACACAATGGAGTACTACACAGCAGAAAAAAAAAAAACAACAGCTTGAATTTTGCAGGAAAATGGATGGAGCTAGAAAACATTATTTTGAGTGAGGTAACCCAGACACAGAAAGGCAATTATCACATGTACTCACTCATAGGTGGTTTTTAAACATAAAGCAAAGGAAGCCAGCCTACAAACCACAATCCCAGAGAACTTAGACAACAATGCGAACACTAAGAGAGACTTACATAGATCTAATCTACATGGGAAGTAGAAAGTAGAAAAAGACAAGATCTCCTGAGTAAATTGGGAGCATGGGGACCTTGAGGGAGGATTGAAGTGGGAGGGGAGAGGCAGGGAGGGGAGCAGAGAAAAATGTAGAGCTCAATATATATCATGGGAAAAAAAAAGAATCCGAAAAGTACCAAGCATGGTAGCTCCGGTCTTTAATCCCAGCACTCACGAGGCAGAGGCAGGTGGATCTCTGTGAGTTCAAGACCAGCCTGGTCTACAAGAGCTAGTTCCAGGACAGGCTCCAAAGCTAATGAGAAACTCTGTCTCAAAAACAAAACAAAACAAAAATAAAAATAAACAAACAAAAAAACCCAAAAAACAAAACCAAAGCCAGCCTGGTCTACAGAGTGAGTTGCAGGACAGCCTGGGCTGCACAGAGAAACCCTGTCTCAAAAAAAAAAAAAAAAAAAAACAAATAAATAAATAAATTAAATTGAAGAATTCAAAAGGTGGGGCCCTGTGGTGCACGCCTGTCATCCTAGCCCCTGGAAGGCTGAGGCAGGAGGATGACGGCTAGCCTGCAGAGCAGGAGAGACTAGGAGTCACCCTATGACCTTAATGAGCCTGGGTTTCAAATTCAAGAGCACTGGGGGCAATCGAGGGAAATGAAGAGCGGAGCAAAGGCAATGGTCTGGCACCGCCTGCACCTGAGGCCCCAGAGCCGAAGTCCAGGCCACCACGCCGGACTGCCGCTCCCTCCTCCCGGCCCTGCCCTTGGACCCAGGATGGAGGGTTTATGGATCCCACGTGGGCCGGGGACAAGGCTAGGGACAAGGCTGCTCCCTGCCTCCGAGCTCAGACAAAGGTGAGGAGGCCTGGGGGAGCTCACAGGACACTGGG